ATCAATTATATACTAAGTTTGTTGCAGTGTTTTAGTCATGTTGAGAGAGGATATGAGAGAGAAGATGGGTGAGCTAAGATCTTTTATTGGACCGACGGCTGGTGGTGAAAGAAAGCGCTCTGTGTTGCTTGAAAGCTTCTTTCACCAAGAGCCATTGGTCCAATAAAAAGATATTAGCTCACTCACTTTGTCTCATAGGCACAGAGATTTGCAGTATTTCAGATGTTCCTGTGCTTGTGTTTCCAAGGGACGCTTAACATACTTTCAATGGCATGAGTATTTTTGATGTAGCCCAAAATGTCCTGATAGTTACAAGTATGTGTGTGTCAGACAGCAACAGATTACAAGATCTTCGAAAAAGGTTTGAAATAGTTCAGCCTCCTGGTGGTGAGCAAGCCAAGCCAACACTGAATCAAAACAAACCTGACTACATTATGCAAATTATTCCCTGGAAACTTTTAGTTATCCTTTGTGAGCTCAGCTGCCAGCCAAGACTGATACTAGTTTTGTGACTACCCAGGGTCATAGCACAGCTCTAGCCATCCAGTCACATCCAAACAGGCATTTAACATTCCCTCTTGAATATGAATTGAGACACATCACGTATGGCATTAAACTTCCCTGGGCACCACCTTATCTGGGTTTGTGCATTTGCCAGATAAGCATTTGAGAGCCAATTCGTTTCTGGAGTTTGTTATTTTCAACTATTTTGTTGTTCTCTACAGCAACTACTGTAACATTTCTCCATCTGTACAGAACCAGGGAATGTAGCCATCTGTATAAGCAGCTTTTTCAAAGGACACCTTACAACTCCCATGATTTATCTGCAGTAACCCCAATATGGATGAAAAGGAGAATGTCAGCTGTGAAAGAACATTTTAGTCAAAGCACTCCAAACCTAGTGAGATAACAGAAAAAAAATCCCTGATCTGGAAATCCTTATTCATGCAAAACAGCTACTCGAGTCAGAGGGAATTTTCCCCAAGAAACGGTTATAGTACTAGGGCCAGTGTTGGTGAAGACTGAGGTGATTCTTATATTTATCTGGATGTCCTTCAAATCAAAGAAGGACAGAACACTGGGTCACATTCAGAGGTGACACTGGGTGTCCCACAATGGTAAACTGACGTGACTAAGTGTAGGGTGCCGTTGCACACACACTGACTGCAGGGGCAGAAGAGAGAGGGGTTCAGCAGTGACAGCAACTAACAGGCATGCAAAATCAAGTAGTGGGAAAAGCTAATGCTGATGCTTTATTTAAAATAAAGCACACATCCTTTTTGTTAGTTGCTCATTTGGAGGAGGTAGCAAAAAAGCCAGCATGTATGGTTACACCAAATTTCATCTCCATTTGCATCACCTCTCAAATACAGCACAAATCCATAAAGCATCTTTCCTCCTAGGCCTAGAACCCCAATGCTTTTACTGTACACATGCAAGGCCTGGAACTGTTTATAATGGAAACATTTGACCCTACAGATATTAGGCACATCTGATGGGCAGTAAAGAAAAACAATAACCTGGTTTATACCCTTTGCCTTTTTTTTGGGTATAGAGAGTTAAAGATTACACTTCCCATAAGCATGTAGGAAATGAAATCTGATTTGGGAGGGAAGTTTTTAGGACTGACTAAAAAGTAATACCTGCTTAGCTAAAACTCTTGGGGAAAAACGTTTTGGTAGAGATTCAATATCTTGCAAGGGCCTTCAGGCATGAGAAAAGTTAACAACTTGATGCAGAAGATTCACTTTAGGAAGTTGGAGCAAAAAAAGGAGTTTAGCCCTAAGATCTTCATCAATGCTCATCTTCTTCATAAAAAGAAAAGGAGTACTTGTGGCACCTTAGAGACTAACCAATTTATTTGAGCATAAGCTTTCGTGAGCTACAGCTCACTTCATCGGATGCATGAAGTGAGCTGTAGCTCACGAAAGCTTATGCTCAAATAAATTGGTTAGTCTCTAAGGTGCCACGAGTACTCCTTTTCTTTTTGCGAATACAGACTAACACGGCTGCTACTCTGAAACCCATCTTCTTCATCTGCATCAGCCCTTTAACGTGCCTTGTGTGGTTGCAGCAGAGCACTGGGAGAGAGCTCTCCCAGCGCTCTTTAAAAACCACATCACAAACACACCTCCATGAGGGCCATGGCTTCCAGCGCAGGTCCACTGTCACTTTACAGCGCTGACACTTGCTGCGCTCAGGCAGCCGTGTTTTTGCACACCCGAGGAAGAAAGTTGCAGCGCTGTAAATTGCCAGTGTAGACAGGCCCCAAGTGGCTATATTTTGTATGGACTGGAGGAAGGCAATATGGGTGTGACGAAGTGGGAATGTTTATGTTTTCTCTGAATACTGTGTGGGTGCCTCAGTTTCCCCTATGCATTTCTTAAGTATCTAGGTGGAGGGCAGGGGTCTGCACAGAGGCTGGCTGACACCGTCTCCTGGCAACTGATGGCCTGGGCCCCTCCCCTCCAAAGGTTCCAACTGAAAGTGTTGGAGAACAAAGATCAGATGGCGTCCTTGTCTGGGAAAGAGACAGAGGCCAGAGGAGGGGTTGGGGGGGGGGTTCAGTTTACAGCTGGCTGAGGAAATGGAAGAAGGCCCAGAACTGGGTTATGGGCTCCCTAACCCCTGCCCCCCTCCAAGATGGACCTGACTGAGGGGTCCTGTTCTCTGTACCTAAAAGTTCTGTTTTAGACTGTGTTCCTGTCGTCTAATAAACCTTCTGTTTTACTGGCTGGCTGAGAGTCACATCTGACTGCAGAGTTGGGGTACAGGGCCCTCTGGCTTCCCCAGAAACCTGGGTGGACTTGCTGAGCGAAGGGCACAGCGTGGAAGGGGATGCTGAATGCTCCAAGGTCAGACCCAGGAAGGTTAAAGCTGTGTATGCTTCTTGCCCTGGTGACAGTATGCTCAAAGAGAAAGGATGCATGCTCCCCCAGAGTCCTGACTGGCTTTGGATGGAGTAGTTACAGAGCATTGCCCTGACTCTGTAACAATGGGTATCAGGGAGACTAGAGAAGAGGAAGTTACAATAATCAAGACAGGACATGGTGAATTTTAGCTGTAGGGATAGAAAGAGAATGGATATGAGAGATACTGCAGATTCTTCCTCCAGAGTATTTAAGAATATTTGGATGATGTGACAAACTAAAGATGATCTCTAGTTGATAGAAAACATCTGTCTTACTTTCACAAGGTTGTCAGTGGATAAGTAGAGAAGAGGACGTGGAGGGAGAGTAAGGCCAGTTTTCATAGAATATCAGGATCGGAAGGGACCTCAGGAGGTCATCTAGTCCAACCCCTGCTCAAAGCAGAACCAACCCCAACTAAATCATCCCAGCCAGGGCTTTGTCAAGCCTGACCTTAAAAACCTCAAAGGAAGGAGATTCCACCACCTCCCTAGGTAACATCCCAGTGCTTCACCACCTTCCTAGAGAAAAAGCTTTTCCTAATATCCAACCTAAACCTCCCCCACTGCAACTTGAGACCATTACTCCTCATTCTGTCATCTGCTACCACTGAGAACAGTCTAGATCCACCCGCTTTGGAACCCCGTTTCAAGTAGCTGAAAGCAGCTATCAAATCCCCCCACATTCTTCTCTTCTGCAGACTAAATTATCCCAGTTCCCTCAGCCTCTCCTCATAAGTCATGTGTTCCAGTCCCCTAATCATTTTTGTTGCCCTCTGCTGGATGCTTTCCAATTTTTCCACAACCTTCTTGTAGTGTGGGGCCCAAAACTGGACACAATACTCCAGATGAGGCTTCACCAATGTTGAATAGAGGGGAATGATCACGTCCCTGGCAATGCTCCTACTTATACAGCCCAAAATACCATTAGCCTTCTTGGCAAGAAGGGCACACTGTTGACTCATATCCAGCTTCTTGTCCACCATAACTGCTAGATCCTTTTCTGCAGAACTGCTGCCTAGCCACTCAGTCCCTAGTCTGCAGCAGTGCATAGGATTCTTCTGTCCTAAGTGCAAGACTGTGCACTTGTCTTTGTTGAACCTCAGATTTCTTTTGGCCCAATCCTCTAATTCGTCTAAAGTCCTCTGTATCCTATCCCTACCCTCCAGCGTAGCTACCTCTCCCCTTCCCCTCTACCGTTTAGTGTCATCTGCAAACTTGCTGAGGGTGCAGTCCATGCCATCCTCCAGATCATTAATGAAGAGATTGAACAAAACTGGCCCCAGGACTGACCCTTGGGGCACTCCGCTCAATACCGGCTGCCAACTAGAGATGAAGCCATTGATCACTACCAATGAGCCCAACGATCTAGCCAGCTTTTTTGGCCATATTAAATTAGCAGGGAGATATCCATGATGATATGTTGGAGAGAGATGCAGAAATAGATGGAGACCAGTCAGGAACTGTCAGGTAAATTCCTAAATCACCAGTGTGAAAATGGTATTGAAACTGGGTGAGTGGCTGAGACCTTAAAGATGCTGCTAACTACACAGAAAACGGCAATTACACACAGGAGCAGAATTTGCATGCATGATTTCTCCACACAACCCCTGGCACCTTCAGATGACCAAGGAGTTATGCATGGGCCCCAAAGAGGATGCTGGCTGCCTCTGACCACACGCACCATCTTTGCAGAGTGCAGCAGGCTTCCTGACCAGGCTTGCTACAGTCAGAGGCAGGCAGTCATTTTAACTGCTCTTCTGGTTTAAGAAATAAAGAATATACATCTTAGCCAGAACAGCTAGGAGCACAACCCTTCAAGATCTCAGCCGATGAGGCGTAGGCACCGGGCACGAGAGTGAGGCGGCTTCCAGTAAGCCAGCACGGAGAGCACACAGGCGTTTGAACGCGGGCAGAAAGCAAACGCGAGGCCCCGGGGGTGGCAGGGCGCGCGCTGAGCCGTCAGAGCGGGCCGGGCGGGGCTCCCGGGGCGGGAGCGCGGGTTCCACGCCGAAGGCGGCGTCACAATGGGTTGCCAGGCGCCCGGCGGAGGAAAGATGCAGCGGGGCGGGCGGCGCTAGCCGCTGCGGGGTGGCGGCCATGGCCGGCGGGTACCAGCTGTGGGCGCCCTGGTCGCCGCTGGACGAGTCCCTGCAGTGGCTGCGGGGCGCCACCCCCCGGCCGTGCACCAAGCACCCGTTCCGGGCGGCGCCGCGCGGCGGCGGCTGCCCGCAGAGCGCGGCGGCCGACCTGGAGGTGCAGCTCTGCTTCCAGGGGCTCAGCCTGGTGCTGGAGCCGGGCGCCAAGGGGCCCGGCCTGCCGGCGGGGGAGCCGCGCCGGAGCGGGGCGCTGCGCAAGCCCCAGGCGGTGCGGCTCAGCGGGCTGGACTCGGTCTTCGGGCGGCTGGTGACGGCGCAGCCCCCGCGCTGGACCGGCTCGTTCCGGGTGTCGGAGCGCTCGGCTTTCTGCCAAGTGATCAGCCCCCGGCAGCGCTGGCCCCGCGGGCTCCGCGAACCGCAGGTCCGCCTGGCCGTGGCCATGTGCCGCCAGATGCTGCGCGCCATCCTGCTGCTCTACGCCGCCTACAAGAAGTGCGCCTTCGCCCTGCAGCACTCCCGCTGAGCGGCCGGGCCCGGGGGCCCCGCCGCCTTCTCCCCCGGGCCGCTCCCGCGAGGCCGGCCGGCCGGCGGCTGCACCGACCGCACGTGGCTGCTCCGACCGCGCGGCTGCTTCCCAGAGCGGCCGCCGCCCCCGCAGGGCCAGGCGCCGATTGGATCGTAGCCGCTGACCGACGCCGCAACGCTGCCCTGCCCTGCCCTGCCCTGCCCTGCCCCACGAGCGCCTCGGCTGGCCTGGCTCACCTTACAAGCCCCCTCCTGGCGCCTCGGAGGCTCTGTGCAAGGCGCTAGTCGAACGGCAGCCACCTAGTTTTGTATACAGCTAATTTTGAAGGCGCTTCCAGTCAAGTTGAAACTGATATGGGAGTGCGGTAAATTCCCAATTTTACCATACAATGCCCAACAGTGCTGTGTTTACAGCTAACGCATGCAACCTAGAAGAAATGAAGGTTTGCATTACAAGATGGAATTTTAAAATATGCTGGCAACTAACATGCACAAGTTTTCCCTGCATAAAGTGCACCCTACAATATTTAAAGTCTAAATCCTTATGGTTTGTTTATACCCAAAAGGATGAAGCCTACACATGTAACTTTGCTTTCTAATGTTCAAACTGAATACTATTAATTTGGTTCAGAATTGGTCTAGGAAGGACCTCACAATCAAACTGAGCCACTCCAACTTGATAGACATGCAGATTTACAGAATAAAATATTTTAGTTAGTGGATACAAATGTGCAAATTTATCTTACAACATGTAAGAGTAATATTCAAATTGTTTGCAACCAACTGGACCTCTGCCTTGCAACATTCATAGTAAAATATCCTATCTTATCGTTTGCTACTAATGAATGAAGGAGTTCACTGTCCAGCTAGAACATCTTAGACATGCAGTTTTCACATATAACATTTAAAGGATCCTTACTCGTTCACGGCAACTTACAAAACACCAAGACTAACAAGAGTTAAGTTAGTGGCTTCTTCCTGCGTGCAAAGTAAAAATTGTTATGACTTGTTTACAGCTTATGAACATACAAGAAATTCAGTTTTGCTTTACAGTGTTCAAAGTAAAATCTATGAATTGGTTAAAATTAATGGATGAGACCTACAAAGAAATGCACCCTTTACCTTACAACATTGAAGTAAACAACTCTCACATTGAAATATTTGTTCCTAAGGAATAGAGGCACTTACAACCAAATGAATAAAAACAATTTACTATGTATTCAAAGTCACTTATATGTTTACATCTAAATGGATGCAACTGATAAAAGCATTATACTTTAAAATATGTAAGACATTCCTTATGACTTGTTTACAGCTAATGGATGGAATTTACAAAGAAATGCACTTTTGCCTTAAAACATTCCAAGAAGAGTCCTGATAATTTGTTTACAGTGAATGGATACAACCCTCAAGAAAAGCACCTTTGTCTTAGAACAGTCAAAGTAAAAATAGTTGTGATTTGTCTCCAGCCAATGCAGGCCACTTATTAAAAGTGCAACTTTTGTTTTATATCAAAGGTGTATGACATTTATAAATACACCTTTCCCTTTCATTCATAGGGAAAAGCTTTAATGCCTTCAGTTACTATGCATGTAACAAGTTGACAAGATAATTACTCGTCAGTGTTTGTGTGCTAGCTATGTTGGTGTTATCAACTAAAATGTCTTATCAACAGCTCACCGCTTACTTTCTGCTCAGTAAGTTATAGGGACTCTCTCCCCCCCACCCCACTTAGGGGGCATTGGGGCTCCAGACCTATTCCTGTGATTGCCCATAGATCAAAAGGGCATTTTCTGGCAGTGGCAGTCATTAACACCCTTTAGCCCAACAATACTGGTCTATCCCCTAAGCCAGATATACCTTAGAGCCAGTCACTAACATGTATCCAGTACAGGAGCCCCACTCCGTATTTAAACAAAATACATTTCTATATTAGAAATTTAATGGGTTACATATACACACACGTAACTTTACCACTGGGAGTAGTCCCACTAAAATAAATAACTCACAGAGGTAAAGTTAAGCATGTACATAAATGTTTTCAGGATCAAGCTGCAAAGGAATAGGCCCTTTTGGCTCTGAATCAGACTCCCCTACTCCAGTTACCATTTCTGCTTTGGAGGAAAATGGTATCAGCATGCTGTGAAAACACACATATTGTATCTATTATTACACCTGAAAATATCTGTACAGGTGGAATAGGAACAGTATTCTTTCAATACCTCCCTTCCAAGTTTCCCCTGCAGGCTTCCATCATACAATTTGTAATGTTAGTTGGTATGCTAGCTACTGTATGCTACCAGACAAGACAAGTTTAGCAAAGATCCTAATGATACTGCCAGAGGCAGCCTCCTTTTTGGGCTCATCTAGTCTGCTGTCAGGTCAAGACTGTTTTCTCTGAAAATATGCAGGCTATACACACAGATTTTTAAAGCTGTGCCTAAAGATACAGAGAGGTGCTGGGGGGGGGGGGAAAAACGCACTAGGCACCTGTCTGCACCTAAATACCTTTGAAAATCTGAACCAGAAAAATCTAACCCTGTCCCCACATTGCTGAAATACTACAGAATGGATTTAATTAGTAATGACTGAGGCAAGTTTTAGAATAAACTAACAAACAAAGGATGGTTTACTTTATACATTCACTAGTCATGCTGCTGTACTCTAGCCTGGCTGTATTCCCAGCTTGTCTCTGCAACTGGTTCTTGACTTCTGCTGCTACCCACACATAGCAAACAGGAACTGTGGCAGAGCATAAACACCTGCAGGATGGGTGGCAACTTTAATGTTAAAGTTTACCCGTTTCTACCACCCTATCAATTATTGACAGACAACTGAAAAGAGTGGCTTTTTTACCAATCCATGACAGTCACGATCAGCTAATCTTTTAATGCTGCATTGGCCTTAACCACAGCAGTGTTCTCCATGGCCATCAGACTCTGAAAAGAGCCAAAGTTACACCTCTGCTGAGATCAGAACAGGAAATTATTTATTTCAGCTAGGATAGAAATAGACTGATTGATATTTGCCTCCTAGCACTAGTTCCCAGTTGAGTGCCTGAGCTAAAGTTACTTCTTCCCCTTCCCCCTGCAGCACATACACACCAGAGAGAGTGCACTGAGAAATCTTATTACACCAATAATGTTTTTTGATTGCAGCTGGTAAATAGTCCCGTCACAGTCAGGTCTGGAATTCCTCTGCAGTTTTACAAAATGGGGTTAACACAAACAACAAAAACCACACAACTGAATGTGTGTTATGTAGGGATGGCAAATTGCAGATAGGCACATTAGTAAATTTGTTTGCACAGCTTTATAGTCACAGGAAATCTGCAACTTAAATGACACGATGTGTTTCCCCAATTTCATTTTGATACTTTCATCTATCAAAATGTCAGAAGGATTAGACTTGGCTTTGGCAGTGACAAACTGACAGTGAAGTGAAGTAGAGCATTATTGATTATTGCCTAACAGTGCTGTGATTCACCCACCAGGGACCCTTGTGTGCTGTTTTGTTACCTGAGGAGAACAGGATTTAAACAAAGGGGCAAAATCATCCAGCAATTGCAAATGGTGATTGGATGCAGGTTCATTTGCAAACAAGTGAAAGATAAGCATTAATAGGTTTGCCCAAGTTACTCTCAGAAACGTTAATCAGAGCCACCTTTAGTTCTCTATTGGTGTAAGTGGCTGGAGTTCTGTTGACCTGTGTGTAATTTTACAAATCTACACAAGCAGAAAATTTGACCTTTGTTTGGATCCAGCTGAGATGTTAACATGTTTTGTCTTATCTTCGCATTCATCTAAGCCATTCATCCCCTGGCATACCGCAGAGATGCTAGCAGCATATTGACCACAAGCACAGTTCTCTGTCTCCAACTCCAGAGCAAGCAGCAGGTCCCCTCCATACAGCTGGATCATACAGATCCCGTAGATACCCAGCCTGTCTGCTGGATCTAGGGCAGACTTTTCCAATAAAATCTCAAGAGTCTCAGGCTTCAAAAGACTAGTCTGCTGCTGCTCTAAATCCTGGACTCTTTCCCCCACCCCCATATCTAGATAGGGCTTAAAGCATCTCTATTTTCAAAATTGATCTGATCAGGTAAATCTTTAAGTAGATGCTCATCCCCCACCCCCTTTCCTCACCCATACGCACTCTCCCTGGTTGTTACTGATGCAAAACACTCACTGAAGCCAGTGGGAGTTTTGCCCAAGTAAAAACTGATTAATGACTAAGGGATTTGACCCCTAGTTTTTTGACTGTATTTCAAATCCTTCATTTTCTGGACACAAATCTATTGCAGATATTAGACTTCTAAATCAAAATCCAACTGGCAGGTCATCATGCATGTCTGTAGGCAGATGCAGAGGAAAAAAAGTCTAATTGTAGCACACTTCTCATTAACATACAAGAAGTGTAAATAAGGTGGATTTTAAGCCAAGTTTATAGACACTACTTCTGAAATAAATCTTAACCCAGCCACTAGATCTGCATCTGCAATTCAATCATTACTATGTATGTATGTATGTATCTGTAACGGGTCAGCATCCACCTCACATGAGCGCCCCCTTTTCTCTGGCCGATATATCTACAGTCCGTCTTTTACTAGGGTGGCATCCACTTCTCATGGGCAGCCCCCTTTGGTTGGTTGGTTGTGAGCCTGCTTTTCTTTGTTTCTTATATCAGGGTCGCAGCTGCCTCTTGTGAGCACCGCCCCAGCTGATGGTTCCCTTGCCTGGTCTTCAGCAGCTCAGCCCTCCAGCCAAGCTGCCTTCCAGGGTATACAGTCCCAAGGTCTTATCACAGCCCTGGTATGGGGCTGGAGCTCTTAGTGCTTCTGGGAGAAGCCTACCTTCTTCGACCACTCAGCCAGGGCCCATCTCAGTACCCACAACTGGTGGGGTTTCAGCAGGTCTCACTGGACTCAGTCTTCAACCAGACCAGTGGGGCCCATCTCGGTGCCCTCGCTGGCCTGCACAAGTTTTGTGCTCAGTCCCC